AATCTCCCTGCCCCCCAGGTTCCCCTGATAAGCGGATTTAGATATCCGCACGCTGGGGGCATGTTGGGAATTAGATATATAGATTAGGGAAGAGGGAGGGGTGGGCTATACGGGGCTTGTGTGCTATGTTAACGTTTTTTGTGTGATAACGAAGATCTTCAACAACAACAAAAGGCAAAACAGGGGGGAGGGGGTAGAACTTACTTTCTTTTCATGAGGCTCCCTGATAACAGCCGGTCTCCACTTGTCCTTTGTGATCTTGGCTCTTTTCTCCATATACTTTGGTTTGTTTTTAAACGGCAGGGCCTTTTGAAGGGCTTTGGGGATGTGCAGCATGTTGAAATGCTTCTTCTCTCGCACGATTTCCTAGAAACAGCGACATGGAAATGGAATAGTAAGCAACTCCTTATGCTTTAAAAAAAAAACATATCCACTTTACACACCCCCGTCACATCTTGCAAAACATTTGGAAGATTACAGAATAAGAATCGTTTGACCCTTCTCAACAACATCTTCAGGCCTCCTTCCTGAGCCAGAAAAGGAATGCTAAATGTCCAGGGCACGCAGAAGGAGGCCATGCCATCGCTCCCTCCACACTAGCACTGCTCTCCTTTCTGGGAAGGATGAGGTAGCCACATGCAAGGATCACAGGAAAGGGCTTCTCTGGTTGCCCAGGCACCACAGGAAAAGAGGGGGAGGGAGAGCAGGAGTCTTTTTGTGGAAAAACACAGAATTGGGAATCAGAAAAATAGGAGGAGGAGGAGGAGAAGAAGAAGAAGAGATTGGATTTATACCCCACCCTTCACTCCCCAAAGGTGTCTCAGAGCGGCTTACAAACTCCTTTCCCTTCCCCTCCCCACAACAGACACCCCGTGAGGTAGGTGGGGCTGAGAGAGCTCTGACAGAAACTGCTCTTTTTCAAGGACATCTCTTATCAGAGCTACGGCTTGCCCAAGGTCATCCAGCCAGGTGCAAGTGGAGGAGTAGGGGAATCAAACCCGGTTCTCCCATATTAGACTCCACGCACTTCACCACTACACCAAACTGGAGGAGGAGAGTTAGGTTCACTCAGAGCAGCTTACCACCTCCTTTCCCTCCCCCTCCCCACAACAGACACCCTGTGAGGTAGGCGGGACTGAGAGAGCTCTGAGAGGACTGCTCTTGAGAGAACAGCGCTGACAGAACTTGTGACTGACCCAAGGTCACCCAGCTGGCTGCATGTGGAGAAGTGGGGAATCAAACCCGGTTCTCCACCGCTCTTAACCACTACACCAAACTGGATGAGAAAACACAAGAATACATCGAAGTGGCTCAAAATTGTTCTAAGGAAGGCCATGCCCTGAATAGCCCAGGAAAGCCTGATCTCATCAGATCTCGGAAACTAAGCAGGGCTGACTCTGGCAAGTGCCTGGAAGGGAAACCTCCAAGGAATACCAGAGATGGGACACAGAGGCAGGCTAATCAAGTCACCTCTCTGGAAAACCGCCAATCCCCCACAGTAGGGGTCGATAGTCAACCATGACTTCCAGCCAAGCACACAAAAACAGCACACACACAATGGACTCAAACTTTGTTCTACATTTTAAAAGACAGTGGATTTGGAGTCGCGATTAGATTTCAGCTGTCTGGGTACACCTAGGACATTTTAATCTCAGCCTTCCTCCAAGAAATTCAGGGTTGTGCGCATGATTCCTCACAACAACCCTGTGAGGAAGGCTAGGCTGAAAGTGCACGAACAGCCCCAGGTCCATCAGAGAGCTTCACGGCACAGTAGGAATTTGAACCGGGGTCTCTCTGCCTTCTGTTGGTACCACCGCTCCTGGATCCTGACCACAAGAACCTACCTTATAGAGGGAATCCTTGTTTTGTTTCAGCCTGATGCCCTTCTCGTGTCTTAACTGCCCCGTCGTCTTCATCCCGGTCCAAGAGTCCTTCTCACCCACAGGCTTCAGCAAGGAAGTGACCGGATTGTAGAAGGTCGGGAGGGATACGGGGTACCAAGTCCGCATGAAGACAATGTCTGGAACGAGAAGAGAAAGGTTACGCTTTGGACGCAGTGGCTCTCAGTTAGGCGAATTGTGCAGAGTTCCTAACAGAGAAAAAAAACAACCAGAATTCCACATTGCACAGAAGGACGGATGTACTGAACCTCAAACACACCCCCCCCCCCCG